GTCACAGTGCCACGTCAGCAGTGCCACATCAGCAGTGCCACGTCACAGTGCCAGATCAGCAGTGCCATGTCAGCAGTGCCAGGTCACAGTGCCATGTCAGACTCAGTGCCACGTCAGCAGTGATGTCAGACACAGTGCCACATCAGCAGTGCCACGTCAGCAACATGACGGGCCTGCCAGGGCAACCCAACGAGTCCCTTGCCGCCTACAAGCAGCGGTTCCAGGCTCAGATTGAGGCTGAGGAACAATGCCAGCTGGCAGCCGAGGCTGCCCGCGTACAGGCTGAAGAGGCAGCAGCAGCAGAGCAGCTGCGGCTACAGGCCGATGCAGACGCAGATGCCCAAGCACGCCACAAGGAAGCCCAGGATCTGCTGCAGCGGCATGAAGCCAACAGCATCGACAGAGTCAAGTTCTGGCATTTTGAACTGAACGGCGACGAGGCAACACCGGAAGAGAAGCACAAGGAGTTCCTCTCCAAACTCGTGACAAGGTTGTTGTACGCTTGCAACTACCAACGGTCAGAGTTGGAGAGACAGTACCAAGACCTGACGCAACAGCATCAGGAGTTGGCAAAGCTCCGCCGCATGGTGCAAAGCCACGAGGATGCAACTCGGGCACTCAATGCCCGATTGCTGGACCTGGAACAGGCTGTACCAGGACCAGCTGCTGGGGCTTCCAGCAGTGCACCCTCTAGCCGCTAACTGGAGGACCGCGTTGACCACGTAGTGGCAATGCTCGACGACATCAGCACCTTCGCTGCGCCGACCACCACCATCAGCAGTCAGCTGCATACATTGAACACCGAGGTCCAGCAGCTGCAGACGACGAACGCAGATGGCAATCCGAAGATGTTTAAGATGCCAACTTTCAATCTGGAGAGGTTCGACGACTACACGCAGCAGGATCCAGTCCTCTGGTGGGAAGCATTCACAACGCAACTCAGGATTCTGCCCGTAGCCAAGCATGCGTACATCGGCACCCTGTTCCTGAACTCAAAGGGCGGATGCCAGACCTGGTTGAGCCACCTGGCAACCTCCCACGGCGTCGACGTACCAGACTTGAAGGACAAAATCACATGGGAGGAACTGACACGGCTGTGGAATAAGCGGTTCATCGTCGACGACGCGCCGGCACTCGCCATCAACCGTCTGTTCACCATGTCACAGGGCAACACTGCAACACGGGACTGGCTCACGGAGTGGCAGAAGATTGCGGCAGTGCCCAATCTGGACCTGCCTTTCACTCATCTCAGACGTGAGTTCTACAACAGATCCTGCGCTGCATTGAGCCAGGCTCTTGGTGATCGCAAGCAGTACTCCACTTTCGCCGAGATTATCGACAAGGCGAGAGAGATCATCAAGACCAACAGGTCAGTTGCACACGAGAAATCAACATGGCAGCCGACCTATGTGGAGAAGGTACGAACTGGTCCGCGACAGTAGCATTTCGCTGCAGTCCAGTCGGACAGTGGAGATAACCCGGCAGCCACTCCGGCATCAAGTGACGGAGATCAGGTGGCTGCTGTCCAGCCACGAAGCAACAACAAGTCCCGCAACAATGGGAAGGCGAAATCCGCATCGCAGGCCAGAAATGGACAACCAATACAAGTTCCATGGGTCAAGTTCGGCTTGACCGAGGTGGAGTACAAGATCCGTGGCCGCTACGGCAGCTGCTATTGGTGCAACAGCACCAAGCGCAAGACCTCCCTGTGCCAAGATCAGGGCAAGGAGGATGTGCGACCCCGCCTCAGCTCGGGAAACTGAGCTCCGCGGAAGGTGAGGCGACTCCACCTTCTACTCCGCCAGATTCGGCCGCCTTGCTAGCGGCCTCCTRCACATCTGGGGAGAACGTGAATGTCGCAAGTTCTCGTTACACTTACGAGGACTATGCTGTCCACTTGGTTCCATCGCTGGACCAGCCGCTCCACGTGGAACAGACCACCGCATGCACGGTTTCATCACCATCGGCAACCGATTCGGCAGCTTCGCCGCAATCTATTGCCGGGGATTCGACGTCATGGTCAAGACTTGAAGARCTCGACCCATTAACGTTCACGGACTTCCAGTGGATGCCCGTTCCCTCGACCGGACGATTGCCGAAACCGCATTGCAACGTGCTTATGGCACAATTGCGGGACTACTTGCACACTTGAGTACCAGCTCCGTTGATGGACGCCGGAGTAGAGGTTGTCGACCTTCACGCTTACATCGCGAAGATCGACCGCGAGTCCAAGACGCAACGGTACGACGACATCGACGCACCATTGCTATACGTACGCATTCAGATCGGAGAGGCGACCTGCAGTGCCTTGATCGATTGCGGAGCATCTCGCAACTACATCAGCCAGGACTTCATGGTACGCGCCGACCTTGGCCCACGTGTCCGGAGGAAGCCCCAGCCGACGCAAGTCACATTGGCAGACGGTCACACGCACAAGTCAATCGATCGGTGCATTGACGACGTCCCAGTGTACTTTGCCCCTCACGCAAGTGAGGCGGTGTCCTTTGATATTCTGGACACCAAATTCGACATGATCTTGGGCATGTCATGGCTGCGAAGCGAGGATCACCCGATGAACTCCTTCAAACGCACCGTTCACATTCGTGATCGGAATGGAGTATTAGTTCCATGCACGGTGCCCCTTCCTCATCCTTCGATTAGCTGCCACGTGGTATCCGTCGCAAGCATGCGAGCTTCCATCATCAGAGACGACATTGAGGAGATGGGGGTGTGTTTTCTCCNGAGAGAGAGAGAGAGAGAGAGAGAGAGAGAGAGAGAGAGAGAGAGAGAGAGAGAGAGAGAGAGAGAGAGAGAGAGAGGAGTTCTAAATAGGATGGTTAGCTTTGCCTACTCCGTTCTAGAGTCCTTGAATCAGACAAGGATTACGTTTAATATATGTGGCAATAGAGATGCTCGATTGTCTTGAAGATTAATGTGGATATAGGATGTGCCCCTTCATGTTCCTTGATATTTCTGATCTGGACATTAGGGGTGGTGAGAGCAGCATCTTGCGCTGACTGTCTAGAATACCAATAATTCTCATTGAACAATAGTACGTTATCCTGTATCCACCTCTCCGGCATGAAACTGGATTGGTCCAGGTTTACAACTGCGTCCAGCACCCCCTTGACTCCTTGAGCCTATTGGCTAGTGCCTTTGACGGTACCTTGTATAGGCTTGTAAAGGCACATGTCCACATAGATTCGCAATAATGAACATGATATTTCATGAAAATGGACTCTGGTGCTAAATTTATGGAGTTGGTTTCTATTCCTTCAATGACAGGCAGCCACAATGCTACAGGTCAGCGGCCACCTCTCTCAACTGGTTCGATGTGCGAGAAATGCCGTGTCCGTGTGGTGTTGTGTGTGGTGTGTGTTGAGTCTTACACTACAGCCTTGCAGGGGTGGGGTGGATATCATGACCGGTATGGTTCCACTTTTGAACACCGTGTCCTGGCTGTAGGGGTTAAGGTACTTGGCTCTTGAGGCGGATGCTGCCGGTTCGAATCCGTCCTTGCTTGCACGGAGGAGGACTTAGGGCTCCGACGTGCAGATCCATAGCTGCTGCTGAAGCGCTCACTGAGGCAGGGGGCCCTGTACTCCCTTCCCTCTTCTCGATGGTCATGGAGGCACTGGCAGCAGGAACCTGAAGCACTGAGAGGTTATGGATATACCCAGGCATCCGGTCTCTGTCTGCTCCTTGTTTGCTGACGACCTGACATTGTCCCTTGCTACCACGAAGGAAGACATGAAGGAAATGAAGTCCCTCTTGAAAAAGTTTGGCAAACTCTCTGATATGCTGATCAACTGGGGGTAAGAAAACTAGGGGTGGTGTGGCATACTGCGTAGCCACACGGGTCCTGCAGGGCCTGTCCTGGACATTCAGCCTAAAAGCCTAAAACTTAGGGCTTACAGGCCCCGGTCGTTTCAGCCTGAAAGCTGAAAAACGAGGGCCTGCAGGCCCTACTCCGTTTCAGCCTATTTCTGGGTCTTTCAGACCCAGAGTTTTTCCAGCCTGAAACGGAGGGCCATTTTCAGGCCCTCATTGTTTCGACCTGCCCCTAAGACTCAGGCACGTAAACAGGGATGTGGAACAGGCCAGAAATAGCCTGTTCCTCACGAGCTCGAGCAGGAGCTGCAGCTGCAGCCCCTGCCTCCCTTCGGCATTGGCAAGTGCAGCCTCCTGGACTGCTCGCACGAGTCAGGAGGCACCCGTGGTAGTACATAGGACCTTCCCAGGCACTTCACGGGTAGGTAGTCAGTCAGTAGTCAGGGTAGTCTTCAGGATAGCGGAGCAGCACTCAGGAGGAGCGCTGCTCGAGGGCAGCTTAGCGCTAGTGTAGTCTTCGGCGCTGGGCGCCATAGCTGTAGTCCTCAGCGCTGGGCGCTGTAGTAGTAGTGATACAGGAGAGAGATACTGGCGGAGGCCAGTGGTACGTACCTGTGGCGCCATCGCTCCAGCTCCATCTTCGTGATACCTGCATCAAGGCGCCAACTTCACAGGTTAGTACTGGACTGAGAGAGAGAGAGAG